AATGGGAGGAGGGGGAGGAGGAAGGAGGATGGGGATTTGTCTGATGTCGCGCGCACGCGTCCCACCCCCTCATCAGGAGTGTGAAATCTCATGTGCGCGCATGCCGCCCATATCCCAGCCCCCCACCACCTGCCTTGCTTGCGGCCCGGAGGATCATGCGGCCCCACTCGTAAAAAAGGCGTGGCCAAGCGTCGCATCGGCGGGGGTCGCGCTTCGCAGTGTGTGGCGCCTCGTGGCACGGGTCTCGCTCCGTGATTGCTGGCGCCTCGGGGCCCGTCCTTCAGGCTCGGCCGCAAACTGCGCCCGGCTGCCCAGCCGCATCCCGCCGCGGTCAGGGCGGGGCGTCCGCTGGCCGCGGGCGAACAAACCGAGGCAGCGCGTCGGGTCACGTGCGGGGCCGCCCCCAGCAAGAACTCCAGCGGCCGCGCACTTTCACGACGCGTGGCGCAGCCTCCAGCACGCTCGCGGGGCCGCCCAAGCCGTGTATTTTTCCTGGCGTCTTCTTGTTGCCCCAAAAGGGGACAACAAATTCGACGGAAGGTGTTTTTTTTTTTTTTTTTTTTTTTTTTTTTTTTTTTTTTTTTTTTTTTTTTTTTTTTTTTTTTTTTTTTTTTTTTTTTTTTTTTTTTTTTTTTTTTTTTTTTTTTTTTTTTTTTTTTTTTTTTTAAAAAAAAAAAAAAAAAAAACAAAAAAATAGTTTTCGGCTTCGTAGGGCCCTCACTGGGCCCTGGGACCGCAACAAAAAAAGGGCTCTGGATGAAAAGCTGGTCCCCAGGACGCGGTCCAGACCTCTGGAGCCCCCCCCGCGGGGATTTTCGCCAGGAGGCGCTAGAGCCCCAAGTCACGATTCTATGTGTGGAGCCCTAGTCCCTCACCTGCCATTCTCGCTCGGAGAGCGTAGGTGTCGAGGATGAATATGTGACGCACACAAAGACGAAAGGGGCGCAGTCTCCTTCCAGTGCTCGCAGGCGAACGAGATTACTCTGCCGCTTCGCTGCGTTCGTCTGGCACTCCGCAAAACGTTCCAACCGACAGCCGCTTGCGCTCTGGAGAGGCTTTTCAGGTTTCGCGGGTTTTGGGGTACTACAGGGCTGCAAACCGCACGGCAGAAGAGCCTCACGAGTTGGGCTGCTTTAGGGGCCACTGATGTCGCGGGATGGCGGTTGTCCGCCAGGACCGAGCGAGCGAACGCCCATCCGGCACTGCACCGAAACGGGCCGCGCCCAAAGGAGTGGACGAGTTAGGCCGTAGCCTGAAGCAATAATGAGGGTGATGATGATGATGATGATGATGCTGATGATGATGATGATGATGACCATGATAATGCTGATGATGATTCTGATGACGATGACGATGATGATGCTTATGGTGATGATGTTGATGATGATGTTGTTAATGCTGACGATGCTGCTGCTGATGATAATGTTCATATTGATGATGATGATGATGATGGTGGTGGTGATGATGATGATGATTGTGATTTTGGTGATTATGCTGCTGCTGATGATGATGGTGATGATGATGATGATGATGATCTGATGATGCTGAATACGATAACTGATGCTGATGATGCTGCTGCTGGTGATGATGATCATGATGGTGATGATACTGACCCTGATGACGACGATGATAATGCTGATGCGTATGATGATGGATACGGTCATTATCATGATGGTGCTGCTCATGATGATTATGCTGGTGATGATGATGATGATCCTGATGATCATAATGATGATGGTGATGATGCTGATGCTGATGGTGGTTGTGATGATAACAATGATGGTGGTGATGATGATGGTGATGATGATGATGATGATGATGATGATGATGATGATGATGATGATGACAAGTAGGAGGAGGATGAGGAGGAGCAGGCCGAGCTCACATGTGAGGATGATAATTATTATGCGGATGATGATGATGAGGATGATGATGATGATGCTGATTATGATGATGATGATGATGATGATGATGATGATGATGATGATGATGATGCTAATGCTGATGATGATGGTTATGATGATGATGCTACTGCTGATGACGATCACGATGATAATGACGATGGTGACGATGATGATGATGATGCTGATGATGATGATGATGATGATGGTGATGATGATGCCGGTGCTGTTGTTGACGATGATGCTGCTGATTCTGATGCTGATGCTGCTGATGCTGATGCTGATGCTGATGCTGATGCTGATGCTGATGATGATGATGATGATGATGATGATGATGATGATGATGATGATGATGATGATGATGATGATGATGTATGGCGATGTTGATGACGAGAGAGGAGGGAGGAGGAAGGGAGGAGGAGGAGGAGGAGGAGGAGGAGGAGGAGGAGGAGGAGGAGGAGAAGGAGGAGGAAGAAGATAATAAGGAGGAGGAGGAGGAGCAAATTATTCTAGACCTTCTCCTTTTCTGCCTTCCGTCCCATATCCTCGTCCTCCTCCTTGTCCTCCTCTTCCATTTGTTCTCTCCCCCTCCTCCTCCTCCTCCTCCTGCTCCTCCTCCTCCTTTCCCTCCTCCTCCCCCTCCTTCTCGTTCTCTCCCTTTCCTCCCGCATCCCTTCGTCCACTTTCCTCTCGCATCCACCCCTCGGGGGAGGGGTTGGCAGCGGCGGCGCCCGCTCAGGCGAGCCTGGAGCTCGTGATCGTCATGGACTGGTGCGACGGCGGGGACCTGCGCAACGAGGCGCGGTCGATGGCCCTCCTTCTTCCTGCCTCCTCTTGGTGGCGCGCACACTCCAGCCGGGGGCCCTCTTTCCCTTGGGGTGGCGCGAGGGGGGGGTGCCTTCTGAGAGGGCGGGGTGCTTCTTAGCCTGCGAGGGCCTTCTTGGGAGGGCCCGGAGGCCTCGAAGAAGGCTTTTGGTCAGCCTTCCAATTCGGCTTCTTGGGCGCCAGGAGGGCTTCAAAGAAGGTCCCCGCCTTCCAAGATGCACCCCGCCTTCTTAGAAGGCCGTCCACCTTGCCATCCTCACGCAGGGGACGCATGGCGCCACGTCAAAGAGTGTCTCTCGTCTTAGAAAGGGGCCTTCTTCCTAGCCGCAAGGGCCCCTCGCAGGCCACGCATGCCCAGGAAGGCAGCGCTCTTCGGCGGTGGGCCGCCCTCCCTGGCCCCCCCCCCCCGGCCTGGCGTCTTCTACCGCTGCATGCTGCGCCGCACCGTGGATGCCAGCGCCGCTCCAGCGACACTCCTCCTCCGCAGGGGGCAGCGATTCCCGCAGGCTCACCTGGCGCGCCCGCCGTCGATATCTGCCTTTTACTTCTCCTCCTCCTCCTCCTCCTCCTCCTCCTCACCCTCTTCTTAGGCCTCTGGGGGTCCGAGGGCCTCCTCGATCCCCTTTCTGCTCCTCTCGCATCCTTTCTGTACAGTGTGTCCAACATATTGTTGGCGGCCATTCGTTGTTTCCGTCGTGTAGAAAACGGCAAACGACGACGAGGAGAACGAGAAGGACAAGGATGAGGAGGGGGGGGAGGGGGACGACGGCGACGACGACGGCAAAGACAGCGACGACGTCGACCGACCGACCGACCGATCGATCGATGACGACGGGCGACGACCGACGACGATGACGATCACGACGAGGGCTCCTCGGCATCGGGCTGCACAGGCGGCGCGGCCGGGACGTCCGCGCGCCGCCCGCGCCGTCTCCTGACCGAGGCCCAGCTCGGCGAGGAGGCGACCGGGCACGCTCGGAGTGAGCTTTCTGGTAACAGCGCGCCGTCCCCGCTAGGTGCACCAGAAACGAGAGGGCACACACAGGAGGAGCACGCGAGGCTCACGGGAGGGACTCGGGAGGGACACCGACCCAGGGCACGTGTAGCGAGGGAGATCTATCTGACCTGCAGTGCGCGTGCCTCCTTGTTCACGTTGGGCCGTGAAGCGCGCCATTTGAAAGGCCCTTCTGACAATTATCTTCGCGAGGAGAATGAAACCCGTCTAGGCACGCCTACTTCGGGAAAGCGAGAGTGCATATTCCTCCAGCCTCCTCCGAGGTGGGCTCTAGGGGATTGTAGGGGCTCTTCCTTCTCCTCCTCCTTCTCCTCCTCCTTCTCCTCCTCCTCCTCCTCCTCCTCCTCCTCCTGCGGCAGGGCTCCTTTCGTGGTCACACAGGGAGTTGCACCGAAGGTGCTTGTGGCTGGGTTCACATGGTGACTCCGCCCCACTTCGGCAGACCCCTCGTGGCCAGGTTCACATGGCGACCCGCCCCATTTGGGCACAGCTCTTACACGTTTTGTGGCCCTACAGGGAGCCGCACCGAAGACGACAGTGGCTGGGTTCACATGATGACTCACCCCAGGTAAACGTTCTGTACATAGCCGCCACGCGTTAACAGGGAACAGAGGTTCGGGTTCTTCGCAGGGGTAGTTGTTGTAAGTTTCAAAAGATGGATTGCTTTGTCGTTGAGCTGGTGAGAGGGCATTATGGTGTGCGTATGTGTGGCTGAGGTCGCTCCCCCCCTAACCCCTTGTGTTCCTCCTCCCGTTCTCGAGTTCGTCGTCGTCGTCGTCCTCTTCTTTCTCGCTCCCTCTCTCCTGTTCCAATCCCCGCCTCCTCGTGCGCAGCGAGGTGAAGAGGAGAGGCAAGACCACGCCTGCGGATCACATCCCAGAGGACCTCGGGGTTCAGGGCCTGCACGAGACGGAAGGGAAGAGGATATGGGGACAGCGATCGGCGGAGGAAGGCAGGGAGGAAGGAAGGGGAGGACGGGAGTGACGATGAGACGCGTGCCACATTATCATCGTAGTTCTCTCTTTCCTCCCTCCTCCCTTGTCCCTCGTCCATCGTCACTCCTCCCTCTTTCTCTTCCTTCTTCTCTTCCTCCTCCTCCTCCTCCTCCGCCTCGTTCTCCGCCTCTGGTCGCCATTACATCCGCTCCTCGATCTATATGTAATTTTTTGGCGTCTTGTAGAAGCAGCTGGTCGATGCATAGGAGTGGTCTTTTCAATGTCAGCGCCGCCACCGATTCTGCAGTCGTCTGTAACTCCATAGCAGTGGTTGGCCCAGATTCCTGGTTCAACCTCACGGTCCGCGGTACATCTCAAGATGTTGGGGCCTCATTTGTGCATTCGGCTGCACGAAAACCTTCGGTACGTATTCGCAACACATAATAGAGAGTCGAGGATGCTTCTCGACTCTGAGAAGTAAGTCCTGGCCACGATGGGGCAATGGCTAATGTGATGCACAGGACACGCGTCGACTGTCAACGTCGTTGTTGTCGCCATCGTGTCCAAAGTAGCCACTACTGCCCCATCGCCATTTGACGACATGTTGTTGCGCAACAGCTTGTTCGCTTTCAGGGGAAGCAGCGGCGGCCTTTGGCCCATCGCGGTCGGCGCGTTCCTCCGGAGGTTGGCGCTGCCGGCCGTGCTCCGGTGCAAGCGGCAGGAAGTGCAGGACGCAGTCGGCAGCATGCAATTCGCGCGCGGGCGTGCTGGCGGCGCCGACGCGGCCTTCAAGGCGCTCAGCCTGGCCGCGGCGACAGGGAACTTCCGCGGCGTGCTCAGCCTGGATTTGAAGAACGCCTACGGCGCCGTGCGCTGGTTGGATGCCCAAGCGGCCGTGCTGGCGCGCACTCCGTGGATGAGCCCCTTCGTGGACCGTTTGCACAACGCCACCGCCTGGAACGCCTTCGACACCGCCGCCGGCGACGCCATATGGATCGAGCAAGGCACAAGTGTTCTCCAATGGTGCCCTTTCAGCACATTCCTCTTCTGCGTGACATTGGTGGGCGTGTTTAAGTACGCCCAGGGGGCGCGGCCTCCAGACCAGCCTCGTGGCTTACGCGAACGACATATACATAGTCGGGCCGGTGGCCAACCTGGCGGCCTCATACGAGATGCTCGCGCACGCAGTCGCGGGGATCGGCTGGCAGTGCGCACTGGCGAAAACGAAGATGTGGCTGGCTTCGCCCGAGGCAGCACAGACCTTCCCGCAGGCGCTACACCAAACACTGGTGCACGATCTTCCCGTCCTGGGGTGCAAATGATACCACCACGACCGGGAAAACGACCTCTTGGTTGGGTTCGGCGGCTTTGAGCAGGGCATGCGGAAGCAGTTGCTCTGGTGCGATCCACAGCGGCCACCCTCAAGGGTGCCAGGAACCGCGGGCTTTGCTGCCAGGTGGCAGGCGCCACTCTCCGGTGCAATTCTGTCGGGGCTCCGCAGCACTTCATCCGCTCGCGCCTCTGGAGCGAACGGGCGTTTGCGGAATGCGACAAAGAAGTCGCGGACTCTTGGGCCGACATGATCGGCGTCCCATAGATTCGTGGGCAAGTCGCAATCGGTGACCTGCCGCTCCGCGACGGCGGCGCCGCCTTTCGGAAGGGCCGCGCCGCGGGCGGCCGCTGCTTTCCACGCAGGATGGCGCCAGCACTTCTGGCGTTCAGTGTGCTGGGGCCCCCTTGTACGCAGAGCAGGGCTTGCGCGATGCGTTTCCGGGACTCGTGGCGGAGCTGAAGAAGGCGAGGGCTGATTTGACGACCCGGGCGCCAGCGTTCGTTGGCAACCACGTTGGCAACCACATGTTGGACTTCACGAAGGAGGGCGCTCATGGGCGAGATCCCAATAGGCCGCGAACGCAAGTTCTCGGCGGAATCTCAGCATGCCACTAGGCGCGGCTGCGGCAGGCAGGCGGCGCTGGAGCAGGCCGCTTCATGTGTGCCCCACAGCCTTTCGCCAAAGACAGCGCAGACTGAGCCTGGCGCATGGCCCTGCGCAGGCGCTTGCTGTGTACAGTTGAGCAAGTAGATTATCCAGCGCATGCGGAGACGCATTGTCGCCACTCCAGACCTCGGGGCGCTTGCGGGGCGCAGCTGGATGGGCTTGCTGGTCTCTTGCACGTAGAAGGGTGCAACATCGGCGGCTGCGTCGCGGGGGGCCGCAGTGAGATCTGAGACATCTTGTTGCCTTTCGCGAAGGCGCACGTTGACCCCGCGCGCTCCGCGAGCAGCGCTAGGAGAGCGCGCCAGCCTTGGCAGACGCAGCGGCCGACGACCACCTGGCCGACGTACTGGACGTTGTCTTCAACTATGACGGCCGGCGCGTCTCCATCGACATCGCCGTGAAGGGCGTGCGCGCGGACCCGCCGTGAGTCCGGGCAGCGGCCAGCCGGGGCGGGGCGGCCGCCGCGGATGAGGAGAGAGCGAAGCGGCGGCTCTACGCGGGATTGATCATATCCACGTGCGACCTGGGCGGGCAGTGGGGCGAAAGCCTCCGAGCTGGCTGCCAGCCTCTGGCAGGAGGCCAGCGTGGCTGGTGGCCTGGCGCGGCGCCAGCGCCTGCGTCCGTTCGAGCTCCCAGTCCCTGGCGGGCTCGAGGTGAGGCCCGAGGCAGGCGAGACGGTCCGGGCGGCGGCGGGCGCTGAGGCCGCGGGGAGCAGAGGACGAGGCTGACGGCAAGGAGCAAAAGGGAAACGCCGGAGAGGAGGAGGAGGAGGAGGAGGAGAAGGAGGAGGAGAAGAAGGAGGACGAGGAGGAGGAGGAGGAGGAG